AAATAGCCTTAATGTCCCACGCTTTACGAGTTTGATTCATTAAAAGATTAAATATAATATAGATAATCGTTTTAATTAAATTGCTACTGGTTTAGTTTATATAGGTCACAGTTTAATATATTAAAATTATTAAACGTTTAATAATTAAACGATAATAGAAATTGGAAATAAAGTGAGTTTAAATGAGGAATATTTATTATAAAAATCACATTTTGTGTGTTAAATAAGTTGTACAATTTTTAACAATTTAATGATATAAGGAGATAGAACTTGCGTGCAATTTTAATAAATCACGCCGCTCTACGATTTATATGTCCTATATTATAGCTGCGTTACATATTGCGTTGTAATATCGATACATGGGCTTTCCCATTGCATGAGCTTTTAAGCATCGCATGGCTTTTCATGCGCTACGAGCTTGTTCCGTTTAATCATTTTCCAAGAAGAACCGTTGCTAGACGGACAATACATCACTGTAACCAGATTTAAAACAGGACACGAAATTTCGTTGCCGTGCGATACGTGAAACGCGAATGCGATACGAAAAATGTACAGAATGGCCGAGGAGGGAAAGACGAGGACGGTCGAAGGGAAGAGAAGTTACGTGCTACGCGTGCAAAGCGGGATCCCAAACGGGCAGGGCCCGAAAAACGATCGCTGTCACGGCAAAATCGAATCGGTCCTCTTAGCTGTCATGGATAGATCCGGGAAAACGGAAGGATGATCTTTAAAGAAACGAGAAATAATGTATCTCGCAGTGACACATGTTTTCTCTTGTCGACTAATAAAAAAAAAACAACTGATTATATCTATGGAACGGACGAAGAGAAACATTATTCGATCACACTCATATAATGATTCGTCTTAACAAGATTTATGAGTTCATTATTACCGCGATATTCACTTTTTATCGGGCTATTTTTGCGACTTTTCAAGCGAAGATCTGACGTTCAATTTTCGGAAAATTATACAAGTCTTTCCGAAAATTTTATGACGTGTAACTCATATAAATTTGTCCAAAATTGCTTCTTTCGAATTTAAATTCGTAAACTGTCAATCATATCTTTTATTTTTAATAATAAAAAGTAAAATTAAATACGCAAATCAACTCGTTTTAAATTTAATATTTTAAAATTACATCGCGAATGTGCTCTTCGAAGAAAAAAATTTGTATAAATTAAATATCCGTCTTATTTCAATTATACATGAGATTGAAAATAAAATTGAAATGCCAAATACAAGTGATCGGCACAGCAAAAGAAAAAAAAATCGATTCGCCCTTGGTAACATTGAGTTGAAATCCGTAATCAGATAAAATTAAAGTACCTCTATAAATATCCAATAGCATTTCTCTTGCAAAGCACCTCTCAAGATGACAACGGGCACTTTAAGGGTTCACGAGACATGGCCGACGCGCACGTTATCCTCTGAGAGCTACGATCCAATCTGAGCCCAGTCTGATATTTTACGATCAAAGAGCCGGGAAGAAGAAAAAAAGAAAGATTCGTGCCGCCATAAGGGCTCGTTCAAACGAGCTGGCAATTGCCGTATTATATACTTTCCACTGCTCAAGATTACAAGGCACGCGAGCTTTAAGCTCGGTAATAATGTTGGGCGTTCTGGGGTGGCCTCGCGGCACGTGCAACTTAAATGCCGGCTTAAGACCTCAAATTATAGGAATGTAGGCTCTTAAATTTTTGGAGCCATGAGATTCAGCTGAATTTTACGGTCACTTTACTCCGGTGACTCTGGAGCTTGAAGTAATCACGGGACGGAAGTCGCAGAAGACATCTTCTACTATTCTACTACTCTCGGTTATCTCTCTCCTCCATTTCATATCCATGAATAGGACAGACGCAAATTGCATTCTGAAATTTGTTAGACGCACCGAATATAAATATTGGAACATCACGTAAGGAGATAATAAGAAGAATTAAATATTTTTGTCTAAAAGAATTTAAATGAATTATATGAAACTTGTTAAGACTTTTCTTAAAATTATATACTTACATTTGTTTATTTGATTAATCTAATGATGACGGTATAAGGAATATAATATGTATATGTTTCATCTTCTATTAAAAAAGCATAATAAAGTAGTTGCAATGCTTTTGCTCTATTTTGTTTACTAATAAGTTAAAAAAACCTATTTTGCACGGTGCAGTAGTAAATAAACTTTCCTGTTTCGCTGTTTACAATTTACTATTCATTGCTAATTGCTTACTGATGTGCACGCGGTTTTATTCAGAACAAGTCACCGAGGCGAGGGGAAAAAAAAGCGCCTCGAGTGCTCTCACGTGAGACAACGAGATTGCCGGAATGCGTGCGTATTTACGCGACAGGGGTCGTAGGTGCCGGTAGGGTGGAGATGGCGGGGGTGGAGATTAACGACTGCCGAGGAATAATTGCCGGAACACGCAAAACGCCGAGCCACTCGAGCTGATCTTCAGACTGGGAAGAGAAAGGCGAAGGAGGAATAGTGCAAGAGAAGGCGAGAGTCACAAGAGGAATGAACGTGGAGTGTCTGTCTATGTGTGTGTGTGTGTGTGTGTGCGTGTGTTGGAAGAGCGTAAGAGGGAAGAAGGATGGGTCGTTACGCCGTGGAAAAGCGGTGACAACGCCTCGGCTTTGAATCCGCCTTCCTTCCGTCGGGAAGGAAGGATAAGGACGGGGGAGGGTTTGGAGATATGGGGTGAAAGAGGGAGGAAGCAGCTCGGATCTGTCCGTCTGCCCGTTCGCGAGTACGGCGGGCGGGATGCTCTGCAAAATTTAAGGAGTCCATGGCAAACAGCCCGTACAGTGCCGCACGGAGGGTGGAAATGAAAACTGAGCGCGAGGATTTTTCTTCGCGCGCACTTCTGGCAATAAATATGAAGAAGGAGATGTTGTTGAGGAGGATGTTGCATTATATTGTGATCGTGCCGCTCGTGCGTGCGCAATGTTACGTGCTACTCACGTTAGCTATTTATTTATGCTCTTGTGACGGCGCGAAAGAACAAAAAGATATTTGTTGCGCTCTCGTACGATCCTTCATATTTGCCTATATTTAAACGCGAACGTGTGCTATACGGATGGTATTTTAACAGTTAAAGACGCTCGACTAATCCACGCGCCATCGAATTTTTCGTCCCGCGGGATCGTCGCTGGGTCTCGCGTTATCGCAAAGTTTTAACGAGATTGCCATTTACGAAATTACCGCGCGATGATCGGGAAACTCGGGGAACTAAAAAGTAACCGATTAATCTGGGACGATATATTAACGTGATAAACCGGCGCGCGGTGCTCGGCAAGCCCGCGGTCTCGCGCCGTTTGTAGATTTCGCTGAGTGTAAATGATATTACGTGCGCACATGCACATGTGCGAGCACCTCCACAGGGATGTGTCTCGCTGTCCCTCTCTCTTCCTCCCCCGCGACTACGCCACGGCCGTTGCTCTTCCTCTCGTGCGCGTGGCTATCCACAAACCTGACTAAATGCGCGTATGCACGAGAGGGAGAGAAGGGATGGCGGATAGTTAGGCAAGGTATAAATACGTGTAAACATTCGGCTAAATGCGACAGATAGAGAAAGAGACAAATTCGCTTAGATACACGATTGTGAGGGTGTGTACACGTGCCATATGCAAGGCACCATGCGGGTGACACGGCTAATATGGGCGCGCGCACGTGGATTCTCCGCGGCTATACAGGAGAAAAAAAAATCGTCACGCGCGCATAAGTGTATAATACTGTGCGCACGTCCCGCTCGTATTAATACACGCACGCACACGAATTAGCGTCGCCGTGGCTGCCAGCGGTCGGGGAATAGTAAGCGGCGGTCCTCTCGAGCGGTAAATCAGGGATTTCGGCCTGGTACGTGCGCGCCTCGCCGAAACGATCGCTCGATACTCGCTCGTCCGTGCCGCAATCCTATCCTTTTTCCTTCGTTGCGCCGCACTGATCTCTTTTTTTTTCCTTCCTTCCTCCGGCCCATCCTCCCTCACGTACGCGCGTCCCTCGTTACTATCCGTTGTTCATGCAAGACCGGCGCGGGCGGATGCATCTCGGGATTTTCTACCAAACTGACGTCGCGTCCGTGTAATTCCGCGTGATGTGCCGCCGACGCGAATCACCTCGATCCGATCGATCGATTGATCGAAATCGGAAGGAAACGCGATACCAGGGTGGGCTTGAATCGGGGGAACGACGAGCGCGGCACGAATTCCAATGACCTATTAATACCAATTAAATGCTAGACCCGAGAGTTTTCAACTGGAAATCGATGGTATCGGTATTTTCCGCAAATTCGTTGACGCACCTGTAAACAAACGTGCACATCGGCGCATGTTTAACGGATAAATATATTAAAATCATTGGAGCGGCGTTATAGCGTTTTGCAAACAACCCTACCGCCCGGCGTATTTGACGGCGTAAATACCGATGAGTCTAATGAATACCGTGCGATAACGGAGCTGAGATAAAACTTTCACACGGCCGCCGGCCACCACGGTAGATTGAAACGCGAGATAATTAATTAACTGTACGGCGCAGGCGATTTACCGAAATGAGGGAGGCGAGAATATCGTTTCCGCAAGGCGCGCAATCTTGTTCTTTTTCATTCAAGAAGTCGTCTCCATGAATAGCAGCACGAGACGGAAAAGCGGATTGCGGTATCGCGACACAGTAACAGCTCCCTGATGCGAAAATAAGAAGCGGAAGCGTTGGTTTCCCCAAGAAACTAGCGTAAAATATAAAATTCGATTTCGCGGGTTAAACTCCCCGAAGATGGTGAAGTTCAGCGGAAACAACAGTGACCGATAAATAAACTCACTCTTCGTGAAACATTACGGAAACTTTCACGTTAACACTTGTTCTCGCACGCTTCACTGTTGGACCTTAAAGTAGACATTTTTGTACATTATTGTTTATAAAAGAAACACATGTATTATTATACATACATAATATTTCCTTATAGATCTTTACAAACGATATTTTAAAATGGATATACCGGTTGATGTTACAGGACCTGTCAAGTTTACATGGATTATCAGCTTCCGAGTCTTCCGACTGGTAACGACGGATTTATGCGAATAATACTTTCGCGAGCGCGGCAAGGTGAGTAAGCAAGCAGTTTGAATAAAGCAACGATGATAGAGAACATTGGGGGCGCGACGGCTTTTAGTGTTTGCGTATGCAATACCCCTCATTCGGCCGTGTGCGTGTATGTGTGTGAGTGTTGTACGCGAGTACAGGTGCACGCGCACTCCTACTCTCTAAGGAAAAGTACGCTCAAGTGTTCATGTTTAGACGGCACAAAAATCCAATATTAAGAGCCATGGCGCCGGGCCGGGCCCGGTGGTAGAAAATCGGAAGTTACCGTGAATATACGTCGAGAGGAATTATGCGCCTTGCTTAAAACACTTCACAATTTCCTCGAAAAAAAGGCGACGTGGAATGTGGTTCTTCTGTCTGTTGCCCTTTCCTACCTACCTGTGCGGTCCCACGAGCTTGCCGCGATACTCTTGGAAACTTTCAAAGAAATTGGAGCGACGGATATCATCGCGGAATTTACGCGCGGAATTTACGCGCTCTCGGCCGAAGTGTGCCGATATTAATCCCATTAATCCTGTTACATTCAATTAATAACTCGTTTGCATCGGCAATATCTGTTTAAGTAATTAAATGATTATCCGTTAAATATACAGCTGAAGAAACCTCACTCGTAATAATTCTATCGGGATTATTCACACCCGTATCAAGTTGCGATATCGATGCGTGTTCAATTAATATTTGTCTCGTGATGGAATTATCGGCTCGCTTGTGTGGGAAAATTAGCATTTATTGAAAATGTATTGTAATAAAATTTGAATATATATACATATATTCACAAATAAATATATATATATATATATATATAATATTCATTTACTTTAAGAAAGAAGTTGTAAAACATAACAACATATCTATTAAAAATGACCAAAAACAAAATGGGAAATAATTAGCTACATAATGGTCTTGTCGGATATTCAATTAAAAGATTGATAAATCTATCTCATATCTATTTCGCACAATTTGCGTGATAGGTTTACTCTGAGATAAGTGTATAATGCCTCAAGGCTTGTACATTAACGCAACATATAGAATTATAGAATATATGTTCAAATCGAGTTATGTCAGAACAGCCTCTGCTGCTAAGATTAGATTATGTGTTCGAATCAAATTTCGTAAGTACGTTGTCTACGTGATTTTAAATTGCGACCAAATATATGGCACATTTCAAAATAAACTAAGATATGCTCAAAATACTTGAATAGTATACATAAACGAATATGAAATAATGCAATCAAACACGGTGCAACTTATTTCAAGAAAAGTTTTTTCATATTTATTCTTATTTGCTTTTTTCTTATCAGGATTTAAGCATGTCGTTCGTGTATTGTAGAAAAATACAATTTGGCAACGAGTTTTTCCGCCGTCATTGAATATTTCGTTTCGTTCGCGTTAATAATTTATTCGAGACTGCATACACGATTCGTGAGAATAAAAATCGCGTGTATCTTAACAAACTTTCTGAGCACAACGCGTATAATCTATGGGCGTGTATAAGCCCGCAATTATGAACACTTATCGATTATTACCAGAACTTTCTGTGTACGTTCGCGGCATGCAGAGTACACTTGTGTATATAAAACAGCTGATTAATCCCGGCGCCCGCTTTCCTAGTGAGTTACTCGATCTCGTCAAAGTTTGATAAATTCTATATATACATTTGTCGACCTCAATGCGCGCGCTCGCAGCACCAGTCAACCGTGCTGCAAAGCTTATTATAATTAACGGAGGTGTCGGAGGCCACGGAGCAACATTATGTTTGATTAACAAAGAGCGGCAGAAATGTCATTCGCTTGGACTTTCTTTACATTCACCCAGTCGTGAACAAGAAAGTAATATAAAATTAGCAAGAGGAAATCTAGATAGCGTCATTGCATGAGGTCTTTTAATATATTTCGAATATTTTTGACCAGAAAATCCGCAAACCGCTCCGCTGCTATGTTAATACATTTTGACATTTCTGCACTTGTTTTATGTCACGTCTTTAATTCATAAAAATTATTATTACAAATATTGAACACGATAATGTACGACAGTATTATATTTAAATTATAATGCGCGCAGGGAGGGAGGTATAAGAACGAAAGACGAAGAGAAGAGCGATATAACGCGATCGTTTGCATGCCCAGCCCGACCTTTTTCTAAATCGCATTGAAACGCCGCTCGATCGTACTTAATCCACGATTAAGCCCCAGTTCAGGCATCATTAAGCCTGAACTAAAGGACATCGAGAATCGCCGTGGAGACGGTTGCGAGATAAACGCACGATCGATTCTTCCCAGTATAAGCCGAGCCTTGACTCCTCGATCGTCCGTGATTCCGTCCCTATTCACTAGTCTGGCCGAACGCCGGGTTTACCACTGTCGACTGATAGGCGCCGTCGCTACACGCGCGTATCCCACAGCTAACCCTGAAATGTATTGATTCCGAGACGCTAAACTGGACAGCGCTGTTCCGAATTTAGCACAAACAGTATGTAACTTGTTCCAGTGTAATTTGTTAATTCATTACTAAAACAAAATTTGGTGTCGGGGTATCCATTTTCCATTAATTAGCCTCTAACTTGCGTCTAACGTCGCAATGTTAAGTTAATCTTCTAATGTAGTTTATTAATGCCGTTTAGAACACTCTCTTCTTAACTATTGCTATTGTTTGTTGAGAATATAATTGCTTTTACGCGCAATGTATTCTCGTCATTTGCCATTCCCGCCGGTGGTATCCGCGACAAGTTTTAGGATAATGGAACATACATTCGTTTTACAGCACGCTGCATGCACTTAAGCCGCGACACGAGGAAAACGTGTTTCAAGGTTTGCTGCAGGCAACACATTTTCATTCTTGTTACGTTCCCGTGTGTTCTCATGCGTCCCATGTGTTCGCGCACGGAAGGAGCACGTTTGTCGATTTAAGGGCCGTGAATCTTTAAAGTCGAGAACGGAAGAGATGCGCGCAACGGACAGGCCTGCATCCGAATGCTTTCACGGTGGTATACCGTTAGATTCCACCACACACTCGGTCGTCATTTGATACAATGAAATCTCCAGGAATGAAACACCTTCGGAGTATCATATTTCGCAATTTCGCATGGTCGGCCGCTCATTTCAAGCTGGTTTATGCGAGCTTGGCGGCGCATTAATTCGGCTGAATGACGGTTTCGGCCCGTCATCGTCATCTCGTAACCGAATGCAGGTGTGTAAAGCGCGATTCATGTTCTACAGTTTTGTCCGATACCGCGCGCTAGTTGAGCTTGCCGTCTTTATGCAAGCCTTCATTAACTTGCACGTATCGACTTGTACGTCGTTGGAATATCGCGTTTAATGAATGTTGAACTGACGCATAAGATGCGTCCCACATCCATTAATCCATATAATCTTAATTTTAATGATTCTCTCTCGAATAATCGGTAGATTTTTTTTTCGAGAATATTCAACTTATTATTCATTACAAATTTCCAGCTTTTAACAGCTTATTATTAGATAAACAGATTCGGAATTTAAATGAGCAGTCACGATTGCGTACGGCCAGATTAGAACGTAATCGTACTGCAGTAATAATTAATCAGCTCTTCCGTCCCACTTCCGATGCGCGCTGGTCCGTCGGCGCCATTCCGCTCATCGCGAGCTTCCGCATGGCCGCGGGCGATGAAAAGTATTCAACGGCGATCGATGTAAGCCGGGAAAGGGCATGATGAATTCTCAGTTCTCACTTCTCACTTCTCACTTCTCAATTCTGTAGTTGAGCGCGACAGCTTCTGTTGCGGCGGCAATTAGGAAATGAAAGTCAAACGGCTGAAAAATCGTTCCCTCGCGATCGAGTCGTTCCGTACCGGCACAAAGTGGATCCTCGAGAGTGACCATTTAAGGGTAGCAGATGGTGGAGCGAGAGGCAGGCCGCGAATATCGAACGAGGGAAAAGACAAAAAGGGAGGTTGAGAAAGGAAAGGGGTAATAGCAACGAGCGGAGCGGCGAATGGACAGTTAAAGTGGGGAAAAGGGAAATAGAGAAAGACGGGTGGGACGGACTTTTTTGAAAGTTCAAGCCGGCCGGAGTTATCGATAATCGATCATGCGAACTACTACTCCCGGACTCGTTTCGTGGTTGAGCGACGTCGTGCGTCTACGGCGATTTTAAATTCGCAAAGGAGAATAAGGCGCGCGGAACGGCCCGCTCGACCGTGAACGTGCAAATTTGAGTCTCCACGGTCGACTCCCCGCGGAAGCTGTATCTATCGACGGCACAGTCGATTGGTCTGGCGGATGGGAAACTGGGTTATGCAATGATTCGATAAATAATCGTACGGGATTTATAGACTCATGAAGATACGAAATTATGATTCAGTCAGGTCACTGCGACCTGACGATGCGAGCGCCGAAAATTATAAAAGTTCCAAAGATACAAAAATATTCATAGTGACATGCATCATGTAGGATGTAGGTTGCGAAAGGAAGTATGATTGTCGCGTTTGTTCCTCGATTGATATTTCAATCCAGCACTTTTGTCAGGAAATATTAATCATTTCCGCCCGGGCGGATTTTTCTCTCTCTCTCTCTCTTTCTCTCTCTCTCTGTCAGTTTGTTCATTTCGTTTTCCCGCGACTAGCGACTAGCTGATTCAAGCCACGCGACTTCTTGACATTTCAATTACAAATTAAGCGTTCACCAACCACGTTGCAAGGGTCTCACCCCCGATGCTCGATCCATCGCGCAATTCGTTGAGGAGGACAGGGGAGATGGGTGCGAGTGGAGGGGGGATGAATTTTTAAAAAGCTCGAGGAAAACGGGGAAGTGATTTGAAAGTTTCGAGGATGCCGAGTAGAAAAGTTTTTAAAGGGTGCTGGAAGACGAGAGAGGAGGCAGCGGAGGATGATATAAAAAAGGAAAAAACAAGATGGCGCGCGGTAGGCTGCGGCGGATGGAGGAACAGTGTAAGCCATGAAATTGAACTGGCTGTCTGCAACACCTTCGGCTTCGAGGAGGATGCTCTGCAGCCAGTTATATCGAGTTGTA